AGTAGCTTTTCTTAGAGGTCCTTACAGCATTGTTTGTTTATAGTTGTAAGTCTTTATTTTCCCAGCCTAAAAGCATCCTAAGTTGGTCTACAAGAGCAACTCCTCTACCATCCCATTCTCAGTAGAAAACATACAATCTGTGCTGAGTAGATAGAGGTATCCATAACAGGATCTGAATTCATTCTCTCTCTCCCTTGATATTCTCTTCCTAAGGCAATTAGCCAGGGGAATGGACTCTATGATTTTGGAGATATTTTCAAATTCTCAAAAATTTCTGATTCTGTATTTTCTCTGTCTCTCTTCCTCACATACACACACAAAGTAGAAGCCTCCAAAATGAAAATAAAAAACAGATATTTGATTTTGATAATGCATAACAAAGTTAACCCCTCTAGGCCTCAAGTTTACCTGTATGTAAAATGGAGGAATACCTCATAAAGTTGTTGTGAGAGTGGGATGAGATGCTGAATGTCAAATATTTAGCACAGTGCCTGACACATAGCTAGCCCTCAAAAAATGCTAACTATTGTTTTTACTATTGTAATTATTATTAGAATGCTAGCTGGAGAGGGAAAAAGGGAAGGAGAGGGTATTCTCCCCCTTCTGCTGAATCTTAAGCATAATTCTTAGGATGACCAGAACCAAAAGGGTTACTTGGGAACGTTTTAGTTCTCTGAATGTTGGGGATAAACCCCATCTCACAGCTGCATCCCACACTTAACCCCTATGTTATTAGGCTTGGACATGCTTATTTACCTTAAACAGGTCCTGAACTCTCTTCAAAGCTTAAGAGAACTGGGCTTTTGGAGAATGTGTGAAGAAATTCTTGACTTAGCAAATGTTGAAAACTTGAAGCTGTATTTTCAAAGATTCACTATGATTAATGAACACATATGAAATTTCTCAATCTTAATAATTTTCCTCTCAAAGATATTTTCCTTCAGGTTACAAATTGATCTTAATATTAATACTTAAGGATATTTTTTTCTGAAGATTCATTTGAGAATGTTTGCCTAATTCCCAGCTAACTACATATTAGATTCTGAAAATGTCCTCACATGTACAAACTAATAAAAATGTTATTTTTAATAACTTTTAGCTTAACCTTATCATTTCAGAAATTAAAGGCAATAAAGTGGAGACCTGGCTTAATTAGATTCCCTCTATTTATACATACCCAGACACATACGCGTGCACGCACACACACACACACACACACACACACACACTAGGGTATTTTCAAAAGTTCATGGAAAGATTTATATTATCATTTAATTCTATTTTTCCATGAACTTTTTGAAGTACCCTCATAGATATACAATATATATAAATATGTAGATGTAGATAAAGGGATACATTTAAAATTTATATACACATATATAAAATATAAATTTATACAGTAAAATCTATAGTGTAACTATACATTTACTCATATTTTAAAGTATCTATGTATGTATATAAGCCTGTATGCACATATGTACGTATGTATGTATCTATTTTTCCAGAAAGCAGTAGAGGGACACGTTCATTTGTTCTCTTGCTGCCCTCTGGTGGTAGACAAAATTCACAGAAGCAACATTTTAGAGACAAAGGAGGAACAGACCAGACTGGAGCGGTCTGTTTGATCTAGGTTGCTAGATGGGGTGTCTGAAAGATACGTAAATCAGTGTTGTTTCTTAAAAGGGGCTCTTGTTTGCCTCCTCAAATCCGTTACATTGCTCTGACATTGTTTTTTTTTTTCCTGGACAAGGTCCTATTTGGCCATTTGGGAAGATAGGCAGCACTCGAATTCCCACTAACTTCTCATTGAAAACAACCCAGCTTTCTCTGGCCAGTTTACAGGAAGAACTGTCCTCAACCATCTACTTCTGCAGCAAAGACTGTACCATTCAGTTTTCCAGTTCCGTCAACCATGACTTCTAATGATACATCTTTGGAAATAAGAATAAAATCCATTTAGACATACACTGCTAATAGACTTTTTAATTATCTCAAAAATAATTTATATTCTCCAAGAAAACCATACTTAAGGCAGGGAAGCAAGAGCCTATATGATTATAAAGCAGCTACCCACCCAGTAAAAGAGAAAGACTGGCAATGAGGAGTGAACTCAAGGGAAGCTAGAACAGTCAACATCAGTGATGTAAAGACAAGCGCAATTCACTGCTGTCTTTAACATCTCACATAAAACAGGTCCCCATTCTCTGAGAGCAGCCTTAACTGACAGACCTAGATTTAAGCCTTAGCTTTGCCCCTTACCACACTTAGTACCTGTGTTTCCTAATCTAAGAAATGGAAATAATAATATCCATCACTCACAGAGTTAGAATAAAGACTAAATGAGCTAAAAGTACATTGTCCCATGCTGGGCATATAGCCTGATTCCATGTTTGCTGACTACAAATTTAATTCTAAGGATGCAGACCTGCTGGTTTCTAGCTCCAATACAGTGGTCTCAGGAACAATAAAGGAGAAAAATGGCCGGTGCCAGGTTGTGTAGCTGAGAAGATGAGTATGCAAAGCACAAGTGATACAACTGGTAAGAGTTGGGGCTGGTATCTGAGTTCTGTTATAAACTAATTGGGAAGAACTGTGGGGTGGGTTGAGGTTCCAAAGCATAGACAAGTGGGCATGGAGTTGGAGAAATGCAAGTCTGTTACCACTACCGTGGCATGCAAAAAGAGGCTTTGTCTAAAATGAAGAACCTGGACCAGAAGGTATTTAAGGTCTCTTTCAAGTTCTAATATTCAAATGAATCTACCCCATATTTTGTCTCCTTAAGTGAAATAACTATTTGACCTCAAAACTAAATTGCTAAGAACTGCCTTCAGAGCCGACCTCTCTCTTCTCCTGTAATTCCTGCAGCTCCTCAATACAAAATGTTCAGGAAACAGAAGTCAGCCTCCCTCATTGGTCCACATTAACTCTGTGTTTCAAGCTAGCAACATCAGGTTCAGGCACCCTGATACACACTGCTCAGTGAGATGGGAAGACAGAGAACTTCAGAATAATTGACAACGTGGTTCTAGGGAATCAGTGTAGAAGTGGATCTTCTTCCCCTACAAATTAACTACTTTCCAATTAGAAAAGAAGCAATTTAGTAAAGATGATTCAAACTGTTAAAAAAAAATTTCTTTGAGCAAGACTTAGGAATAAACTCCTTTAAGTATCAATTCCTCCAATGCATTTAAATTTTATTTACAGACCCTGAAGGAAGGGAATTACAGAGAAATTTGAAACCAATGTGTTTAAGTCCTTCTCTATTAAAGAGCAAATGGAAAAGGAAAAAAATGCATTACTGAAATTATTACATATCAACTGAAAAATCATATCCCATTAACTGCACAACTTGGCAGGAACATATAATCCCTGATACTTGTACAGTGGCATCAGTTCCCACATATATTATCTCCTTTAATCCCCACAATTATCCTATAACATTACACCTACGCAAGGTCCAGAATTTCTGGAAGAATCTCACCCACGCATCATCATTTTGCTCTTTTTCAAAAAAGGTAATTTGATAAATATGTAATAAATGGGGATTTCATATCTCCATGTAAGATGTTTCATATGAAATAAATTCATAAATCAGAAAAGATCTTTGGTTACCATGTCTTTGTTTGGAAAACATGATCAGGGTACCTCTCTGGTATCACACAAAGGTCAGAACTTCAATTACTTAACACATACTTACAGGTTACAAGGGTGTGATAACTTCACTCAACAGCTAACCACTAGTTAGTAGAAACAGCCTCATATTAGATCTTGAGAATAACAGATAACCAGTACTTTAGTTGCTCTTCAAGTCATGCCAGAAAATATGCTTTTGGCATTCTGGTCAAAAGCACTGAAAAATCACACCTTCAGAAACTAGATACAGATTGAGGTCATTTGTCAAAGAACAGATTTTCTGGTAAAACTGAAGTTGGCATTTTCCCCTAGAAATTATACAGGATATAAACAAAACAAAACCCTATTTTTTTAAACTAATGTGAGACTAAATATTCTGGTGTCACTCCTTTTACCCACTTATAAATGAATTAGAACATTTAAAATGCAATTAATCATGATATACTGAAGAGCTTCTATGGCTCACTACTGCCTTCAGGATAAAGAACATACTCTTTAGCCAAGCATACAAGACCCATGATCTGACCACGAAATGTTAGGATTAAAAAAATCTTCTAATCAAAATCTTCACTATGTGGATGACCCTTTAGCAGCTCTTGCCTCAAAATTCTCTGGCCACCTTATCTCTAATGACCTTCACCTTCACTTACTTCAGGTACCCATTTTCAAAAACATCACAAATATCTTGAGGTGGTATAGTGTAGACTGGAACTTCCTGGTTTCAAATCTCAGCTCGAACACTTACTCACTCTGGAACCCTAGAAAGTCACTCAACTTTTCTGTGCCTTGGTTTCTCCTTAAGTGAAATGAGGTGTAAATGTGCTAATACATGTACAATGCTTGAAACAATGTTTGGCACACAGTAAGGGCTTTATGGATTAATTAAGTAAAATCCCTGTAGAGGTTTTGTGTGGACATAAGTTTTCATTTCTCTGGGATAAATGCCCAGGGGTGTAAATGATGGGTCCTATAGGAAATGTATGCTTAGTTTTTTTAAAGAAACTGAAAAACTGTTTCCCAGAGAGGCTGTCCCATCTTATATTCCCACCAGAAGTGTATGAGAGATTCAGTTTCTGTGCACCCTTGTCAGCATTTGGTAGTGTCACTTTTTAAAATTTTAGCGGTTCTAATAGGTACATAGTGATATTTCATCATTGTCTTAATTTCAATTTCCCTAATGGCTAGTGATCTTGAACATCCTTTCATGTGGTTATTTGCCATCAGTACATCCTGTTCATATCTTTTGTTCACTTTCTAATTATATTGTTTGATTTTTTGCTGTTGGTTTTTTTTTTTAAAGTGGTAAGGTGGCTGGGAGAAAGAGTCACATGTTTGGAGGAGTGGCAGTGAGAATGGGAAATACATACCTTGCCAAAGTGCTCAATTAGGATTTCCACTACAATGTTCTGGAACTTGATGTTCATCATGGCGGCCACAGTATCCTCCTGAGCTCTCATCAGGGTGGGCCCAAAGATCACCCCCATGTTGGAGGGGGTCATAAGATTCTCTTTGCTGTGCTCACACACACTGCCAGAAGAGAAAGAAAATGATTACCAAGATTTGCTCCAATACCCCCTTGTTTACAAAGAAAACAACTAGCAAACAATACAAGAAAATCAGGAGCTGAAGTGAGACAGGGACTTAGCTAGCAGCACTGAAGGAGTTAAGAGACAGGTTGTGGGGAACTGCCTTAAAGTATTTAGATAGGCAGGAGGGAAGTAAAAGGTCCTTTAAGGCAAGAGGAAAAGCATGTATAAAGAACAAAGCGGATGAAGAGAGTGCCTATCAGTCTCTCCCGTCAGGAACCTACCTCCTTCCCCACCCACAGCTAGAGAAGCAAAAACCTGAAAGAGCTGAAAGAGATCCTTAAGATCAGCCCTTTATCATCTTCCTCATTTTACAGATGAAAAAAGGAAATGAATTTGCCCGAAGTCTCAATCAGTTAGCTACAGAGAAGGGCCTGTAACCCCAGGTTTTCTGATCTCTCATCACTCTCCTTGCTTAAATTCCCTTTAGTGGCTTTCTGTCACTTACAGGACAGGGTCAACTCTCTCTAAAGTGGCAATTAAGGCCACCCATAACTTGACCCCTGTTTCTAATGCTTATTCACAGTTTAGGCCTTGAAGCTGACCAGGTTTGAATCCCAACACTGCCACTCACCAGTTGTACAACAGGAGGTGTTAACTCACTCTAACCTCTCTGGGCTTCAGTTTTCACACTTATGAAAACAGTACCCACTTCAAAGGGTTGAATAGAGGTAAATTGCTTTAGCATGGTACCTGGCACCCTGGAAAGTATCTGTTGTTATTATTATCTCTCCAGGAGCCTCCATTCTAGGCACTGCTGACCTTTGACACTGTTTTTATACTAAACTGCTTAGGGTTTTCTGGATACACCATGTTGTTATAGACCTCCATATCTTTGCTCATGCCATTCTCTTTTCCTAGAATGTCCTCCTTCACCTACATCTAAAAAATGTCTATTCATCCTCTGAATTGCACATTAGGTAACATCTCCTTTCAGGACAATCACAGTCCACTGTCTTCATCTTGGCAAGCAGAGTATGTCGCAATTTTCTGTTTACTTATTTGCCTCTACCACCAGGTGGTAAACAACTTCCAAGTGTGTGTGCCTGGCACACAGCAGGTACTATTTTATTATTGTAAAAGGAACTGAGCTCCTCTAGTACTCGTTCAAACAGTACTGGAGGCAGCCACGTGAAAGGGTGCAGCCCTCTGGTCAGTTTGGCTGTGGGGTTGGGCAGGTGAAAAGATGAAACAGCCCAGCTGCCCACGTGAAACAATAATTTTCCAAACTTCCCCAGTACAAAGTTTCTAAGAGGCTGACCCATCAACAGACAGATTCTTGACACTAAGTAGGTAATTGAGGGGGACAGAATCCTTAGACAAATCTTAATGAAGTCTGTTAAGCCCTAGACAAAGGCTGAGTACCATTCAGATGGTAATGAACAGCAACCATTCAAGGCCTTTGATATTACTAAGCTGGTGATGGGTTCTTTTCAACAGTTTAAATACCTCTACAATTAACCTTTATTCTTTAGTGAAAGAATTTTTTCAGATATTAAAATGGAAAATTATCTCCATGCAGCCACTAAGTGATCTAAAATGGCCAAACTACTACGGACAAGGCAAGGACACATGCTTATTTCTTTTTGTGAGCTTTGAAGGGAACTGATGTTTGTTCAATTTCCCAGCAGCTCACTAAATCATCACAACTCCACAAGGCAGAACATTTTAGTTTTGAAGCCTAGATTCACTGAGGGTAAAGCGCTCATCAAGGTTACACAGTTTGTGAATACCTGGCAATGCAGGGATTCAAACCCCTATTTATTGGTCTCAATTGCATCCCACTGCCTGCTTGTCTAGTTCCTCTTAAAAAATCAAAATTCCTATGGGAGCCCCTTTTAACCTAAAGCCACCTTCCATTTCTCTGAGGGAGGTTCTTGGTACCCCATTTAGAATACTCTTCCTTCTTGGCCTTCTTATGAGATTTGGAGGGTCACCTACTCATTGGGGAAATTTCTTTGCATTTGGGATCTCTCCTTTTATTATACATGTTGAAAAGCATTAAGAGGCATAAGTCACACCCCAAATTGTAGATTACAAGATGAATGAAACCAAAAACAAGAGCATCATGAATAGTGAATTAGGTAGGAGTTTGTGATATGGTCTAACAGCGAAGGAATCTCTTCAGCAAAGGAATCTTTAGACCACATGGACTAGAGAAAATGCATACAACTTTTTCAACATCAACATTTAAAAGAAAGGAATGGGTATCTGAGGGAATTTGTAGAAAGACCCATTGCAGGAGAAAATAATTCTGATTGGTTTAGATTAGAGGTCATAAATTAAAATGCCTAGAGGGGCAAGGTAGGCACCTTAAATGAGGGAAACTGCCTAGTGAGAAGTGGCTGCCCCATTTAGACAAGCAGACATTCTCCAGATCTCTATTTTCTCACAACTGTAGAGACACACAATCAAGAGAGTTACTTCTAGTTTTAAGAAAGGGGAATTCCTGGGTCATCTATAATCTAACCCTAATATAATATTTGTTAAAACACTTGAGAGTGGTGGGGACTGTGGCAAATTAAAAGCTTGTGCCCATTCCAAAGGGAGCAACCACTAGTCAACTCCAGCTTATTATTGCCACGTGGGCATGAAGGTCCAGTGTGGCCAGATAATCTCATTTCCTGAAGTCTATACTTTGATGTGAACTTTTTGAATTTTTTAAATGCTGAAGCCAAATCATTCTTTTTTTTCAAAATAGTGCAGGACAAATAAAACACATTTGGGTCTGGATCTGGTCCACAGGCTGCCAGTTTGGTTTAGAGGGCACCTGGCAGAATGATGAGAGGCTGTCTATATAAACTGTAAGGTCTCATCCAGCTTTAGGGTTCAATGGCCCTGAGAACTCTATGCACTCTGACTCCTAAATAAGGAGATGCCTCCGATCATATTCCTAGTTCCATTAATAACATAGTGTGTAGCTTTGGGCTTATCTTTTTCCATCCTTAGGTATCTGTTCCTTTGTCTGTAAAATGAGAAAGTTATTAGATAATCTAAAGGGCCTTCCAGCTCTTCCATTCAATGAATCTAAGAAAGTCCTGGTCTTGAAAATATGTGTCTCCTGTTACTAGAACACAGAACCGTCTATTAAGTATGCTTGGCCTCCCCACTCACACATACACACACATACCCCCCAAAACCCCCAAAACACAATAACAACAAAAAACTGGAATCAGAGCAAGCCTGTAGACCCAACTGTGGGAAACTTTAAAGGACAAATGACCTGTTCTCTTAAATAAACTAAAAGAAAAAAGAAAGAGGTGAAAGGGAAACCTACAGATCAGGGACATGGTAAAAATATAGAGGCCTTATCCTACACTTCAGCAAGCCATAGACCTACAGATGATTGTGATACATATCAAAGTTTGAGAACTACTGTTACAGATCAGGGCTTACCAAACTATGGCCCTTGGACCAAATCCAGCCTACCATCTGCTTTTGTAAATAAAGTTTTATTGGAACATAATAGCTTTGCAATTCAATTCCATATCATCCTTGGGTGCTTTCATGCTACACTGATAAAACTGAGTAATTGTGATAGAAGCCATAGAGCCCACAGAGCCTAAAAATATGTACTACCTGACTCTTTATAGAAACATTTGCCAACCTCTGCTAGAGATTAAAAGAGACTTAAAACAAAACAAAACAAAAAATATTTAAACAGATTGCTATGTATAGACGTAATTTGGATCCTGATTCAAAGAAAAAAAATATATTTGAGACCACTGGAAATTTGAAAGCAGAATATTTAATAATATTAAGTAATTGTTATTAATTTCTTTTTAGATGTGACAATTTTTTTTATTAATTATTTTTATTTTGTCAATATACAATGTAGTTGATTATTATGTCCCATCACCGAAACCTCCCTCCCTCCTCCCTCTCCCCCCTCCCACCCAAGTGTGTCCCCTCCATTTGCTTGTTGTAAGAACTTCAAAAAAAAAAAAAATGTGGTTGTTTTATCTTCCCCCCCCCCCCCCCCAATTTTATTGTATTTATGTTTACAAAGACTTCTCATCTTTTCAAGATACAAACTGAAATATTTATGGATGAAATATTTTGATGTCTTGGATTTGCCACAAAATAATATGGGACAAGAGGAAAGGGGTGAAGATATAGATGAGACAAAATTGGTATTGTGCTGATAATTGTTGAAGCTGGATAATGGGCCCACAAGAATTCCTTATATTGTTTTCTCTATATTTGTATATATTTGGAAATCTTATGTAATAAAAAATTCTTCAAAAGGAAAAGACAATAATGGAGAAAGTGAGTCAGTGCTACCAGTAAGCAGTCCCCCTCCCTGAGGATGGTGTCCTTTTTAACGGGCAGACAGCTTTGGCTTCCTCCACTGGTGTTACATTATCTGTAATTTACTTTAAATATTTCAACATAGAGCAATGTCCTGAATTTCATCACTGCCATCAATTGCAACCACAACATTACTTTACATACTACTAAGAAAAAAAAAAATAATTTCATTGTCAAATCATCATGTAATATTTTTTAAGACATTTTAAATAAAAAATAAACACAACGAACATAATTTAACTGAAGTGCCTACAATATGAGCAGCTATTACCAAGTTCATGCATGCAGAGGCTAGGATAATTACATCACAACTGCTGCCTGACAACAGTGATTTTAAAAAACTTGATTTTAAGATGCATCTAGAACTCAGATTACAATTTGAAAAAGAAAAGTAACCCTCAGAACTGATGAAATTTGATATACGTATTTGTTAGTATTCATGTATACTCTAGGACAGGTTAGTTATAAGTATTCTCATCATGAATATATACTTACATACTTGAGGGGTGATTAGCATTTAAAAGACTAATTAGAAGCCAGAGGGACTACAAGCCTCAGCTAACTTCATTTCCAATCAACACCAAAGGCCTTGTTAATTAGCATGATATATGGTAAAAATGATTTCTCATT